TTTGCTAGTATGACTGTGTTTGGGTGGGAAAAGACATATGTAGTGTCATCTGCAAATAATATGGGTTTGAGTAGCTGTGATGCATTCGGTAGATCATTGATGTAGATGAGAAAGAGGAGTGGTCCAAGGACACTTCCTTGTGGGACTCCTACTGTGATTGGTTGGGTGGAAGAGTTTGCATCATTTGCATACACATATTGAGTTCTGTTACTAAGGTATGATTTTAGGTAGCTGAGGAAGTGGCCTCTGATACCATAGTGTGGTAATTTGGAGTACAGCAGTTCATGGTCGACTGTATCGAAAGCTTTATGTAAATCAATGAAAATCCCAGCGGGAATTCTTTCTTTTTGAGTGCAGTATATGTTAGTTCTAGCATGTGTATGATAACATCATTTGTGCTTTTATTATTCCTGAATCCAAACTGACAAGGGTTTAATATGTTGTGTGAGACGAGGTAGGAATAGATCCGTCTATGAATTAATTTTTCAAAGATTTTAGAGAGCAGTGGTAAGTTAGATATTGGTCTATAGTTATTCAAGTCAGCTTGGTCACCTCCTTTGTGGATCGGAGTGACCCCTCACTATTTTGAGGATTGTTGGGAAGGTAAATGATTCAATGGATTTGTTAAAGAGTGTTGCAATAATTGGTGACAATACTTGAGAAGCGTTTTTGTACATAAAAGCAGGCAAGTTGTTTATGTCTCCTGCCTTGTTTTTAAGGGTGTTCATGATGAGCATAACTTCTATTGGGTTTGTTGGAGCTAGGAATAGCATATTTGGGTAGGTACCTATGAAGTAGTCTGATGGATGGGTGTTTGCGCTTGGTATTTTGTTCGCTAGATTTTTTCCTATGTTGGAGAAGAAAACATTGTGTCTGTTTGCCGTTTCAGTTGGTGTGAGTAGGGGTTCATCTGATTTTGTTAGTTTGATTGTTTTGTTTTTGGATAACTTTTTAGTTCCAAGAATTTCAGATAGAGTTTTCCAGATTTTTTTCATATCACTTTTGATGTTATGTAATTTATTTTCATAATACAATTTTTTAGATCTTATCAGGCTGGTAAGTGCTTACGAGTAACATTTAGACTGTTCTCTAGTTATTTGACCCGTTCTGTACTGTTTTTCATATTTGTGCTTTGTGTAATGGATTTGAGGATGCTTGGTGTTAGCCAGGGATTATTCAGTCTCTTTGCTGTGATCTGTTTAGTTTTTTGGGGGCAATGTTATGGAGGCTTTGGGCATTTTTTAGAAAATTATTTATTCATTCATATCTGTGTATGTTTTGAGCTCATTTTGCCAAGTGATGTTATTCATACCTGTTATAAAGTTGTTAACTGTTGTCTCGTTATGTAGTCTGAAGGTTACTTTAATAATGTCTTGTGGCAGTTTGATCAGATTAGTTATGAGAAAGGTAGAGTAGTGCTTATACCTCTTAGTGCCACTTTCAGCAACACTGGTATGGCTACCGGGTGTCATGATTGCTTGGCAGATACAAGATATAGTAATTAAAATATAACACGGCTCACAAACACAGCTGCCTTGTAGCAGAGAAAAACTGGACTGGACACGTATGAATTACGAATATTGTGATGGTGGGGCTGGGATGGTGGGGTGGTGTCAGGGAGTGGTAGGGGATGGCGGGAGGGCTCCACAGCTGCTCCACAACAAGGCGGCCGCTTGAGCAAAAGAGAATTTTTTTTCCTTCCCACAAACTGAACCGTGTTAAATTAATTATACGACGTGTTACATAAAATTGTGCCGCAATTCTTCAATCATGCAATACCCAAATCGTGCCAAATAAACTTGTGCTAAATGACGGTCTACTGTATTGTTTTTCTTCCTATATCCTTTATGCTATATATTCTGAGATTTTGCATTTCTAAGGATATGGGAGTAGGGCTTATATGAAGTCTTGCCCAGACATTATGTATCTTCAAGATTTAAAGACATTTGAAAGAGTGTTTGCAGTATTTGGATGCATAGAATCCTAGGCTTAAATCTTGATCAGGATGGAGTGATTTGGGTTTAGATAATTTGCTTTAGTTATCCCATGGCCTGGTGGCTAAAGCTCTTGCTTCACATGGCGAGGGTCTGGGTTCGATTCCCAGCGAGGGTAGAAACATTGGATATGTTTAATTACTCCAGTTGTCTATGTTCCCCATCAGTAAAATGGGTACCTGGGTGTTAGTCGACTGGTGTGGGTCACATCCTGGGTCCTGGGACAACACTGACCTAATTTGCCCAATATACTCTGCATAACAAGCGGCTTCCTATATAGTAGTATGTCATTGATGTCACCTAGGGCTGTGTACATGTACTTGTAGAAATAAAGATACAGTGGTACCTCAAGTTACGAACTTAATTCGTTCCAGAAGGCTGCTCGAGTGCCTGTACCAAACAAATTTGTTCCCATAAGGAATAATGTAAATTAGGTTAGTCTGTTTCAGACCCCCAAAAATACACTTACATAAGTGTTCGAGTTGGGAGCTGTTCAAAACTCTAGGTGCCACTATGTTATTATTATTGTGTACACCCAGCAGCCAGTGGAATTCTAGATGTAGCTTGATTGGAAGATCATGTTTTGGAGACAAAATACTTGGATTAGTCTATAACTGAAATAGCTCTCAGCCTACAAAAACAGTATGACAAAGGATGATAGTGGTGTATCATTGTCATTTTTTGTTTTTAACATTGGCAGTTTGGAGGGGTATGTTATATATCTTTATATATGCTTCTAAACTGTTGTATCTGGGCACCTCTGCAAAGATGGTGATTATGTGTGAGTGAGGTGAAAGTGTTGAATGTTGATGAAAGTATCTTCTTTTTTGGGATTTTCTTTCTTTTTGGGTCACCCTGCCTCGGTGGGAGATGACCGACTTGTTAAAAAAAAAAATAATTCGTTTCCCACTGAGGCAGAGTGACCCAAAAAGAAAGAAAAAAAACTTTCGTCGTTATTCAAAACTTTCACCATCCTTCATACATAGTCACTGTCTTTGCAGATGCACTCATATTTATTTAACCCTTTCAGGGTCCATGCCGTAGACCTACGGCTTTACGTTCAGGGTCCAAACCGTAGATCTATGGCTTTACGTTCAGGGTCCAAACCGTAGATCTATGCCATGAGCTTAGCTCACTCTGATAAGCTGTGAGCAGTAAATTTTGGCCTAGATATGAGAGAATACATCTATAATAATAATATAATAATATCTTTATTTACTACAAGTACATGTACATGGTATACAGGCCTCGCTGACAACAATGACATACTACTACATAGAAAGCCCCTTGTTATGCTCCGTATGTCGGGCAAATTAGGTCAGTGTCCCAGGATGCGACCCACACCAGTCGACTAACACCCAGGTACCCATTTTACTGATGGGAACATAGACAACAGGTGGAAAGAAACACGCCCAATGTTTCTACTCTGGCTGGGAATCGAACCCAGGCCCTCGCCGTGTGAAGCGAGAGCGTTAGCCACCAGGCCACCAGAGCCCCCTGTGGTATGTGTGCACCACACAAAACAAATCCTGCAGCACACAGTGCATAATGAGAGAAAAGAACTGAGACCGTAATTTTCGATTAAAACAGCGATTTTGTATATTTTTTATAGTTGTATTTGCAATTTCTTGGTCTCATTTGATAGAATAGAAGATATACTACAGAAATAGAGATGATTTTGATTGAATTTAGTACTGGAAATGGCTTGAAACTGAGCTCAAAGTAGCAGAAATGTTAAATTTTTGCCAATGTTCAAGAGTAAACAAATGACCTCACAAGTCTAATACATGACAGCTGGTGGGTCTAATATACATTCACAAATGTGGTGATATTATTTATACAATTATTACAGTATTGCATAACAGTAAATCTTCTATTTTTTAGTTTGAATAAAAATTCATTATGTGAATAAAAAATCAAAATGGAATTAATTTGTAAAGCCTGAAAACATAACTAATGAACAGAAGAAATGTTAGTTTAGTGCCAGGAATGCCTGCATTGTTTATTCTGGACCCTATTTTGAAATGGGAATATCTTGAACTTTGCATTAAATTGGCCAAATTACCAATTTTCGGTCACTTTATTTTGTTGTTGAAACAGTTGACTTAGCGATTTCTTGTGCTCAATCGATAGAATAGAAGTAATACTAGTGAAATAGCTAAGAATTTGGTTGACTGGAATACTGTAATTGCCTAAAATGGGAGTCAAAGTTGGCAAAATCGCCGATGCGCAAATATCGGCGACACATCAAAATTCCCGAGAGCATAATTTTGTTAATTTTCCATCAAATTTTGTACTTTTTGTTTTATTACCTTCAGAAAAAGATTCTCTACCATTTCATAAGAAAAAATAACAAAATTATTTTTTTAAAATTCTTGGACCCTGGTGCACACTTTGAAATTTGGCCTCTGGACCCTGAAAGGGTTAATTAAAATGAAAGTTGGTATCTTATATTTTGCACAGAATGTATTAGTTTCTTTCTTACTACTGTATATCAGTTAATAGCCATTAAAAAAAAAAAATACCACAGGAGGGGTTAGAACCCGCGATTAGAGTCATAAAACTCCAAACTCTCTGATCGCGGGTTCTCACCCTGCCTGTGGTATGGTTTGTTTGCAATCATGTCATTACAATTTTGTGAGTCAGTAATAGTCATTGTATATGGCCCTGTTTTGTATGTGATGCTCAGTAACTTCCAAGTTTTTGTTTCTTTTATACTGGTAAACCGAATGCAGAACGCCACAGAGATCTTTGACTTTTTTTTTTTGCTCTCCTGCTGGGGAAGAGTGGCATAAAGAAGAAAACTGTTATTGTCTCTCAATGACTGTCTTGCCAAAAGTGCACTGACATTACAGCTCAGGTGATCCTCCAAAACATGTGCTATTTTTTATTGCATTGTATTTTTTTGTCTTTTCTGTATACAGCATTGCAAAATTGCTCAAATATAAATATTCTACTTTGCAGATTCTCATCTATCCAAATTACTATTTAATCTGTTGTTTTCAGATTGATGAGTTCATGTTATATAGTGATGAGGATGAGGATGAAGATGAAAATGATGGAGAGGAGGAGGAGAATTCTCGTGATGGAGGAGGTTACATTTCCTTGGGTGGAGTGCCTCTCCACCCGTCTCACTCACATCATACTGTACGACGGAAACAGTCTTTCATGCAGGTACTTGAGCTTGTTTTGCCTATTTTAAACTAAAGTGTATAAAACTGTAATTCCATGTGTTGTACTGAATTAGGGCATGGTTGGGACTCTAACCCTAAACTGTCCAGACATAGATCTACATTCACTTGCTTAGAGCTCCGAATGTAGAATTATATTTCATTTTACATGCTTTCAAGTGTAAAAAAATAAAACGTAGATCTACATTCAGAGCACTACGCGAGTGAACATAGATGTACATTTGGACAGTTTTAAGGGTTAATGTTTTGGGGTAATATAGTTCTTTGGTGGCTACATTGTAAAATAATTTTTTTTTGGACTTTCAGGGGTTTTATATCTGGATAATGTAATGATCAGTTTATTTTAAAATTTAAATGCACATACAGTTACAGTATATACACAGTTACAGTGAACCCTCATTTTTCGTAATTAATCCGTTTCAGAGAGCGTGATTATTATCGAAATTGACGATTTGCGAATCTACTTTCCCCATAAGAAATAATGTAAATCCAATTAATTTGTTCCAGACACCCAGAAGTATCAACAACAATTTTTTTTTTTTTACCTTAAAGATAGATTTACATGCACAAAAGAATGAACATTCAACATGACAGTTACCTTTATCGAAGGCTGTTGTTGATGAATGGAAGACAGGGAGGAGGAGAGAGGGAAGAGAGGTTATTGTTTCGAAGGGGAATCCTCCTCCATAAGGACTCTAGGTCACTTCAGGGGTCACTTCCCTAGCTTAACCCTTTGACTGTCGTGGTCGTATATATACGTCTTACGAGGTATCGTGTTTGATGTATATGTACTCATAAATTCTAGCGGCTTCAAATCAAGCAGGAGAAAGCTGGTAGGCCCACATGTAAGAGAATGGGTCTGTGTGGTCAGTGTGCACCATATAAAAAAAATCCTGGAGCATGCAGTGCATAAGGAGAAAAAAAAACTCCGACCGTTTTTTTTTTTAATTAAAATGCTGATTTTGTGGTCTATTTTCGTATAGTATTTATGGTTGTATTCTCGTTTTCTTGGTCTCATTTGATAGAATGGAAAACATATTATAGAAATAGAGGTGATTTTGATTGATTTTACTATAAAAGGAACCTGGAAATGGAGCTCAAAGTAGGGGAAATGTTTGATTTTTGCCGATGTTCAAAAGTAAACAAATGATGTCATTGTCCAATAAATGTCCAACTAGCCATTCTAATATGCAGTCATGAATGGGTTGACATTATCTGTACAATTATTACAGTATTGCAGTAGTCTGCATAACAGTAAATCTTCTATTTTTTGTTTGAATAAAAATTCAAAATAGAAAGCAAGAGTAATATCAGAGGGGCCTGGAGACATGACTGATGAACAAAGAAAATGTTATTTTAGAGCCAGGAATGTCTGCATTGTTCATTCTGGACCTTATTTTGAAATTGTCATATTTTTTAATTTTCGTGAAATTGGCCAAATTGCAAATTTCTGACCACGTTATTGGGTAGTTGAAATCGGTAAATGGGCAGTTTCTTGTACTCAATCGATAGAAAAAATGGAGTTCTAAAGAAATAGCTATGAGTTTGGTCGACTGGAAAAATGGAATTAGCCAAAAATAGGGCTCAAAGTATGCAAAATCGCCGATTTGTAAATATCGCCAAGGTCGCTAACTTCGCGATAGTGTAATTCCGTGAGTTTTCCATAAAATTTCGTACTTTTGGTGTCATTACAATCGCGAAAGATTCTCTATCATTTCATAAGAAAAAATAATTTTTTTTTTTAAATTTTGCGACACCAGGAGACACTTCAGGATTGGGGGTTGCGACAGTCAAAGGGTTAAATATAGATTTACATGCAGAAAAGAATGCCAAATAAATGTAAAGCACTAATAAAATGTATAAATGAACATTTAACATCACACTTACCTTTTATTGAAGACTTTTGTTGGTATATGGCAGACGGGGGCAGAGAGAGGGGAGGTGAGTTTATTGTTGGAGAATATGACACTAATATCAACTCTACAGCTTATTTATCTATCACAATTCAACTTATATGACATAATAAACAATATTAATAACATAGAAACATGGAATATACTCTAGAATGAATAAAATTAGTCGTTATGTATTTCACGAGAGGTGTTGTGTTGTTGTTGGGTGTATAAGGGCCACTGAGAGTAAGCCTTCCATAATGGTGGTGAAGCAGCAGCTGAGACAGCGGTGTTTTCTGTAGCCCTATATAACTCCAACAACATCGGAGGAGTTGGTAGAATCGCTGAATCACTGAAGAAGGCACCGTCTACCACCATCACAACCACTACCACCCTCTACCATCGTTACTACCACCTTCTACCACTATTACAACTGCTACCACCATCACTACCACCTTCTGCCACCATCACTACCACCCTCTACCACTATCACAACTGCTAGCACCCTCTACCACTATCACAACTGCTAGCACCCTCTACCACCACCACTACCACCCTCTACCACCACCACTACCACCCTCTACCACTATCACAACTGCTAGCATCCTCTACCACCATCACTACCACCCTTTACCACTATCACAACTGCTACCACTCTACCACCACCACCTTCATATTTTTCTACAAACTTTTTCTTAAATTATGTGTGTTTCTCACATTCTTTACCAAAGGGCTGGAACTAGAAGTTTTCTTTGTAGCCATAGTGACTTATTTAGCAGTTGCAAGCACTAAAACGAAAGGAATATTATAAAATGTATCATGTGAACCCGTGGGATCATCCTCACTCACTGATAAACAATGGCACACTGGCTGGGAATGGAGTGTGAGGCGGCTTGGGGCTGTGTGTACACATCGCAGATGAATGACTGTTTGCGAGTCAAATGACGATTTGCGAGGCAATGTTTTGACGAAATTACTGTTACGATTTTTGAAAATTACGACTTTCGAGCCTTACGATTATCAAGGGTCCATTGTACAGTGAACCCTCAGGTAACAACATTAATCCATTCTAGAGAGCTTGTCTTTAACCGATTTTGTTGTTAGCCAAATTAATTTTCCCCATAAGAAATAATGGAAATCCAATTAATCCGTTTCAGACACCCAAGAGTATTAACAAAAAATATATTTTTTAAAGAGTAATTATAGATATACAGGAAGGCCCCGCTTTACGGCGTTTCACTTTACGGCGTTCCGCTAATACGGACATTTCAAATTATGACCAAAACTCGCTATACGGCTCCCCCCACCTGACTTTCTAATACGGTCACCGTGCCCCACCCTGTTTGTTTACATTCTCCATGAGCTCAGTAAGCACTAAGTCTCTCCATTTTGTCTGGAAACTCCAAAATTTTTTTAAAAGTTATTTCATATTTTATATATACTCTGATAATTATACTTATGTATACCTGTACCTAAATAAACTTACATACTGTGCTGGCATGCAGGTACACATTAAAATTGGTAAGTGTCTTATGTCTCCAGACGTCATATTAGTGGTTGGTAGACAGCAACCACCCAGGGAAGTACTACCGTCCTGCCAGATGACTGTGAAACAAAAACCTGTAACTGTTTTGCATGATGGTAGGATTGCTGGTTTCTTTTTCTGTCTCATAAACACGCTAAGATAACAGGGATATCTTGCTACTACTACTTACACTTTGGTCACACTTCACAGACACGCACATGCATATATATATATACATACATCTAGGTTTTTCCCCTTTTTCTAAATAGCTCTTGTTCTTTTTTATTTCTTCTATTGTCCATGGGGAAGTGAAAAGAATCTTTCCTCCGTAAGCCATGCGTGTCGTATGAGGCGACTAAAATGCCGGGAGCAATGGGCTAGTAACCCCTTCTCCTGTATACAATTACTAAAAAAGAGAAGAAGAAAAACTTTATAAAACTGGGTTTGCTTAAATGTGCGTGGATGTAGTGCGGATGACAAGAAACAGATGATTGCTGATGTTATGAATGAAAAGAAGTTGGATGTCCTGGCCCTAAGCGAAACAAAGCTGAAGGGGGTAGGAGAGTTTCAGTGGGGGAAATAAATGGGATTAACTGGAGTATCTGAGAGAGTTAGAGCAAAGGAAGGGTAGCAGTAATGTTAAATGATCAGTTATGGAAGGAGAAAAGAGAATATGAATGTGTAAATTCAAGAATTATGTGGATTAAAGTAAAGGTTGGATGCGAGAAATGGTCATAATAAGCGTGTATGCACCTGGAGAAGAGAGGAATGCAGAGGAGAGAGAGAGATTTTGGGAGATGTTAAGTGAATGTATAGGAGCCTTTGAACCAAGTGAGAGAGTAATTGTGGTAGGGGACTTGAATGCTAAAGTAGGAGAAACTTTTAGAGAGGGTGTGGTAGGTAAGTTTGGGGTGCCAGGTGTAAATGATAATGGGAGCCCTTTGATTGAACTTTGTATAGAAAGGGGTTTAGTTATAGGTAATACATATTTTAAGAAAAAGAGGATAAATAAGTATACACGATATGATGTAGGGCGAAATGACAGTAGTTTGTTGGATTATGTATTGGTAGATAAAAGACTGTTGAGTAGACTTCAGGATGTACATGTTTATAGAGGGGCCACAGATATATCAGATCACTTTCTAGTTGTAGCTACACTGAGAGTAAAAGGTAGATGGGATACAAGGAGAATAGAAGCATCAGGGAAGAGAGAGGTGAAGGTTTATAAACTAAAAGAGGAGGCAGTTAGGGTAAGATATAAACAGCTATTGGAGGATAGATGGGCTAATGAGAGCATAGGCAATGGGGTCGAAGAGGTATGGGGTAGGTTTAAAAATGTAGTGTTAGAGTGTTCAGCAGAAGTTTGTGGTTACAGGAAAGTGGGTGCAGGAGGAAGAGGAGCGATTGGTGGAATGATGATGTAAAGAGAGTAGTAAGGGAGAAAAAGTTAGCATATGAGAAGTTTTTACAAAGTAGAAGTGATGCAAGGAGGGAAGAGTATATGGAGAAAAAGAGAGAAGTTAAGAGAGTGGTGAAGCAATGTAAAAAGAGAGCAAATGAGAGAGT